TATATATATATATATATATATATATATATATATATATATATATATATATATACTGTATATATATATATAAAACTTTTTGCAGTGTGTTAAATTATAAAAGTAGAGTTTTCCAAAAAAAAAATAAAAAAAATAAACAATATTCTACCTAATAATAATAATAATATTAATAATAATGATAATAATAATTATTATTATTATTATTATCATTTTCATAATCATCATTAATATTATTATTAAAGTGTAATTTTTTTCTTTTCTAAGAAATAATAAATATTACATTTGATTTTATAATAAATAGCCTCATTATTTATAAGATTTACATGATATTAGAATACGTGTTAGTGTAAGTGATATATTTTAGAATAGAATATGTGATGTTCAACTTCTCACTAACATTAGTAAAGGAAACCCTGTGTTCCATTGACATATATTTCAGTTAAAATGGAAAGCGAGTGCATGTTTTAACCAAATCGAATATTGGATTTTATTTGTAAATGCATGAGCGTGTAAAACAACATCATTTGCACAAATAAATGACGGGGTTCTTCTCTACAGAAGTAGGTCCTCCACTCAGTCTAGAGCATCATTATGGGTGTTTTACGTTATAACTAACGCGGTTCAAGCGGCGGATCTGCGACAGAGAAACTATGCTTTTTGGGAAACACTCGTCACTACGTCGCTCTTTTCCCAAACGATGCATTATACTATGATAGTTCAGCCGCGAGTTACGTTGTTGTTTGGGAAACACACCTCAGGTTTGTAAAGGATTTAGTGACGCTTTAAATTAAGGTGCAATTCTCACGATTATCAAAGCATTAAACATGACTGTTGACTCAAGAAACTCTTAATTTGCTGCTTATTAATAATTAAGGCAGTTGGGTTTAGGTATTGGAGAATAAGACCATGCACATGCAATATAACAAGCCATTATTTTAATAATAGGCTAGTAGTAAGACAGTAGGTAATAGTGTGAATCTGTACTCAAACTAAAGTGTTACTAAGGCACATCAGATCTCATCCCGTCTCTAATGTCAGTGTTGATTCTGATAAAGTTGTTCCTGCAAGATAAACATCACACCATCGCATGCTTTCAGAGGTTCTGCAGCAGATTGAGGACAGAACCGTGCACTAACTCGAGGTGTTTCCTAGAACGTGCTCATGAATGCATATCAATGGAGTAGAGATGCGAGGCGTCTCCGCTCGAGTGTGCTCTTTGTCTGAAACATCTTTCGCTGCAGAACGCGTGTCCTGAATGCAGATCCGAGTCGTGCGCCGCTGACTGTGTGTGTCTCTGTGTGTCTGTCAGGTCTGCGAGGCGTGCCGGGGGAGTTTCGTACCTCAGTTTCGTGGTCCTGTGGGCATGAGCATGGCATCACCGACCCCTCCACCCAAAAGCCCATCGTCTCCTGCGTTTGTCATCCCGTGCGGCCATGCTAATGCACGGAGAGCCCTCCTCCACCTCCAGCAGAACGACCACGACCTTTGACCCCCCCCTCTCTCCTGACCACAGCGCTGCTGGACCGGCGACCAACACCATCACGGATGAACTGGACAATGACCCCACGACAGATTTCACCTTTGTTTTTGTTGTTGTTGTTGTTTTTTTTGAAGGAAAAGAGAACAACGGTGGAGTTCCAGACGAGCTGTGATCGTTTTTTTAATCTTGTGAATTTTGTTACTGGAGGACCAAGAGTCGACGCTGAATCGCTTTGTAAAGTCTGTTCAACATCAGCAGAGGATGACGAACTTTAAAGACGAGAACAGACTCCAAGAGTTCAACTACTGTAGTATAAAAGCCTAGAAACTAAATTAAATCGTGTACATTTTTTATCACTCACTTCATGTCTGATGAGCTAGTCCTAGAGTAAAACCCTGTTTTTTCACACTGTGTGTGCTGAAGATCCGAAGCGGAGGAGCTCCGATCATTAACGCAGCGTTAACGCCATCGAAGCTCGCTCTTTTTCGCGAAAGCCCGCCTCTTTTTGTTTCGTCACGCATTTTTTGGTCCATGAATGAATGTTGCCCTGTTGGTGAAGTTCTTCGTTTTGAATTGCCCAAGCACTGGATTGTGTTGCTTTTATACATTTTTATTTTATTATTATTATTATTATTAATATTATTATTATTAATTTTGTATCTTGGACTCTCAGAGTAAGAGCCTTATGAAGGACGTGTATCCTGGAGAAGAAAAAAAATACAAAACAACACCAACAACAGTCTCACTCCTGGGGATCAAATATACTATATATATATATATGTGTGTGTGTGTGTGTGTGAATCTGCCATACGGACCGACACGCGTGGATCCTCTCAGTCCTTTGGCACATACACAGCGGAGGAGCGGCGAAAGACTTTAAAAGGACGGAAAAACAAACAACACTTAAATTATGAACTCAGAGCTTGAGAGAATATTGTAAGAAAACTTCGTACAGAGTTCAGTCTATTACTTGTTTCATGTTAGATATTCTATGTGTTTACCTCAATTGAAGACGAATGTTTTTTGCTAGTTTCAGATCTGCTGTGGCATTGATATTGTATGTCCATGAATCCCCCCCCCACCCTCGATTCCTTCCTTTCTCAGCACGTGCTCCTCACTAGAAGATGAAATACTGTCTCCTTGAGCTTTGTCAGAAATACATTCAATACTTTTATGTATGAGGACTGTGGCGTAATGTTTCAAAGGTGTTCAGTCACAAATGCTGTAATAAATATTTCATTTTTTTGATTTTGGTAGATTCATGTGTGCTGTACGGTGTGTTGCACATTGAAACGTGGTGGATATAATATAAACTATTTAATATACAACATCGTTCTTATTTAATATGATTGCACAAACTCGCTCTTATGATTGTGTGTGTGTGTGTGTGTGTGTGTGTGTGTGTGTTTGTTGTTGTGTGAGACAGACACCTCCAGAGGAGAGGACGGTCTCTGCTGTGAGTGTAAGCCGAGCTGACAGCGCTTTTCTCGGTTTGAGTTTCTGCGGCGCCTCCTGCTGGCTGATAACTGCACTGCGGCTTCACTCACACACACCCTTTGCATCATTATCACTAATATTATTATCTTTACAAATGCATTTATGCATTCAAATCAAATTAATAATGATGGTTATAATCATGCGCAGCAAGCGCAACCAATGAAACGCGTTAAATACATAAATGCGCATTTCAAGAAACCTCCGACAGATGCTCTCAGATAAATAAAGCACATTTACAGGCGGACACGGATGAAAGTCAGTCTTTTTTCGATACTTAAATGTTTAATATGCATTTCCTAAATATTTATAATGAAGAATTCGTTTTAAGATTAAATGAATAAATTGAAAATGTGCATATATTATTATTATTATTATAAAGCAGGTTTTCAATTATTTGTAAAATACATAAAGTGAAGGGGGAAAGGGCTACAAATGATTGCAACGTTAATGAATAATATACAAAACAGTATGATTAATAATGTACTATAAATGTAAATTAATATCCAGCTGTTAAAACCTTTATTGCGTGGTTATAAATTCAATTCGCGTTTTCATCCTGAATTACACACGGAAAAAATAGCTTGTAGTTTTAGTTTAATCTCTCTACAGATCTTTATTTACGCAAACATATTTATTTACTGTTTGTTTTGTTTTATTAAATACGCAGATTTAATTAAACATTACAAATAATCAACAAAATAAAACATTTATGTAACAATCAATCAACGTTGTTTTATTTATATCGCACCTTACTACAACCAAGGGGCTGCCCAAAGTGCTTTCCAGCAATAAAACAAAATTACACCGAGATGATTGAGAACATAAAATGACAATAAAACAACGAGAGAATTAAAACTAGCGAATATCAAAAGCAAATCTAAATAATAAATGGGTTTAGGTCTTAATAATAATAATAATAATAATAATAATAATGAAATTATGTGATTATACTCGGAGGATAAATAAGCAGACCTGCTAAAATGATTCTCAGATTGTAGAATCGAGCTGAAGGAAGAAAAGAAAGAGAAGAGAAAAGAAAAAACGCGAAAGGAGAGCCGGCATCATTGTGGGCTGATTTTCATATTAATAGGGGACAGGAGGTGGATTGAATTGCGCCTTTGACAGGAATGATGGATGATCCTGCCTTCTTCACCATCATCATCATCATCATCATCATCCTCCTGTCAGAGTCGCGGGAACGCGCGAACACACAAAAGCAGAAGAAACGCGCACAGCAAGCACGAGGAAACCGGCAGAGTAATTCTGATCGGATCACAAATCTCCAATCATTTCTGAAAGTCGAGACCGCATTAATTTATTCACACGAAACACACACTTGTTTTCCACACACATACAGCATTTAATGCCGGGAACACGCTGATCTAAAGCGGCATCTGCTGTGTGTGTGTGTGTGTGTGTGTTTGTGGGACCCCGGGGGTCACGCGCAGAGGCCCCTGATCATTAATCACTGTCAGCATCACAGTGATTCTCTATTGATGAGGATAATGACATTAGCTCACAGTCACTGATCAATAAAGCACATGCAGGCAAATAACGCTCGCTCTCTCTCTCTCTCTCTCTCTCTCTCTCTCTCTCTCTCTCTCTCTCTCTCTCTCTCTCTCTCTCTCTCTCTTTCTGTTTTTCATGTAGAAACTGAGGGAAAACTACAGTCTGCAGACCTTCACACACACACAC